AGTAATACGATCAATTACTCGTGATGGACACGAGAATTTTTTCGCGTTACGACCAACGAAAAATTATCTCTCGATGAATCGTATGCAGATCTATGTGCAAATTTATGCAATGAATGGCGATTTGGATTGAGCGAAACGATTTCTAGCAAAAATTTTTTTGTTGCCGAAACGAATCTGTTGAATTTAAATTTTTTATATTTTTCTTTTTTTTTAGAAGATACAAAAGTTATTTATATCCGCATGTGATTTCTTATATCTCTTATTTTATTCGAAAAATAATATTATATACGAGAAAGAGAGAGCGAGAAAGAAATAAAAGCGTTTAGTACTGCTCTAGAGTAAGCTCTTTAAGAACAAAAAAATAAGCAAACAAAAGATGTGTGAAATAGAAAAAATATACAAAAAAAGAATACGATAATACATAAATAATAAAGTTTACAAAAATAATGGTAATAATATCTCTTTTATTTGAAAAAACATATAAAAAGGAAAAGATACAATAACATACAAAATCTATAAAACAATGTGGTAATAATATCTTTTATTTTATTAAAAAGATAATATTATATGCGAGAGAGAAAGAGAAAGAGAAATTCAGTAATCGATGATGATTCTTGAATATTTCATATCAAACATTAAATTAAATCATTGTTTTAAAATACAACAAAAATCGACTTCAAACTTTATATGGTTTATTTATATTTATTTTGTATTTAAATTTTCTCTATTGCCGTAAATGGCGTCCTCTGAAAACCGTAATTAGCTGAGCACAGTAAAACAAATATTGATCGCTGATCGTTCCTTGTTGTGGATAAATTTGATGGAAAATTCTGCCTCAACACAAGCCGTCGAACACGCATGCCAATCTAATAGTCGGCAAAATATCAAATCTTATTGCCACATGTATAAAAAAGAAGAAACAGAGATATCCGCGATATTTTTATATACGTAAGTGAAATTGATTTGCAAAATGGTATTGTTACTCACGAAATATTCAAATTTAAATATTTCTCTATAAAATTAAATATCTTGCTGTTGTATGTAGTTAAGTATCCACAATATATAGGCGTTTAAATTTGTAATATTTGATTTATATTCGTATATCTTTTCAGATAAAATATAAGAAATCATCAAGAAACGGATCGAACTATCAGATGTTTGGCAAAGCAAATATCGAAATAATCATGAATACTGATAAAACTAATAAAACTGTTTATTGTCATATCTGTATTCTCTCTCTAATCAAATTGTATTTAAATAAACTCCTTTTCTTAGATGTAGCTGTAAAATTTTCGTAATGCATGCGAAAATTCAATCACACTATTCCGCGCCAGAAATTTTCGGAAATTCATGAAATTCGGAACTCACGATGCAAACGGACCGGAAGATATTTTTATTGAAAATTCATACGAGAGCTAACCCGTCCAAGTCGCGGATAGCGAACCCGTAACATTTTCCACATTGTGGGAAAATAACCGTGTCCTGTGTCATATCCGGGCCCGCGCCCTCTCAGTTTTGTTTATAATGCTCCCAACTCTCGGAGCGAGAGATCGTATAAATGGCGTTGTCGCCGACCACCAAAAATCACGCCAACTCTCCGCGGTGAACGGCATGGTTCGCTGTAAACAATAGTCGACGGAAGCGGCGGCGTCATCGGGCCGGATATAATTTCGTTCGAAATGCATCAAGAGTCAGTCGTGTTACACGACTGCAAAACGCGCTACAGTCCATTCGCAACAAGCAGTTGTAAAAATGCGAAGTCAGTAAAGTTGAAAATTCCGCTCCGCGATGTATCCATTAAAAACGACCCTATGGATTCGTTCTCTGTGGAACCGTAGAAAGAAAACAAGAATTCGCTATTTTTCTGTAATAACATCGTGTTATCGATTTATTTTATAAATAAAATGTAATTAATACATTAACATTTTATTGTATATATTCACAAAATACTAAGAGAAAGCAGTAAGTATTTGCTAATAACCATTAAATTGGAAAAAAGCTTTTACAAAAAGTCCAGCAGTACAATTTTACTAAATATGTAAAATGTAATTTTTCAAATATATTGTATGAAACAAATAAATTTTAATACTGATTTATAAATTCAAATATTAATAAATAAGTTTAATGTAAAAGAGGGTGGATAAAATTATCGGATTTTAACCTAAACTCTTGATGCTTCACTCAATTTTTCACAATTAAAAATTTAATTGCTCGTTCTCAGTATTTTTGATATAGCATTATTTGATGAAGAATAATATTCAACTTATGTTTATCTCAAAATAATTATTTTGGTAATCTCTAAAGTTAATTAAGATAAATATTATTTGTAATGAATAGTCGAACTATAACCTCTCATAGTTTCATATTACAATACATTTACATCACCTACGATTACACACAGCTTCTTTTAACACCTTCTACGTTTTGTTTAGTAATTTGGAATTAGAACTTTGTTATTGTTAACTATGTTTAAATATCTTGCACGATTAGGAATTAATCATCACAGTTTATATTATGGATCTTAATTCTGCATAAGATTCTTATTAAGACGAATGGAGTATTCAAAGCTTTAGTCGAAAAGAAAACGAGTAGAATATGTTACAACTCGGATGTTCAAATACTTTTCGTCCCGAAGGACGTTCTCTTGGAATGCGCAAATAGAAAAAGGAACTTTAATGAGAGACGATTTCCTGCGAGGAAATTCGCGGATCGTCAGTGGTTCGTGCAAAAGCAGGAACGGTTCATGCAGCCACGTCCATCTTAAACGGTGACAAGAAAGATCGGGTCGAGCTGCGAAAAACGGCTCTTTATCGCTTTCTTTCGGTCATGGCACACGGACGATGTCGTTCGGCGACCGTTTCACATGGAAAGGCGGAAAAATGGAAAAATACAGCGCCGAAGAAAGCCGTCTTCTTTCCGTTCTGGGCGGCCATCGCGAAGGGAGCTATCGAACCGGGTGGCGCGCTTGGTGAGTTCGACGATTTTTTCGTCGGGGATCAACTCGTCCTCTATATTAATGACCGCGCCGCACGGATTATCCGTTGGGATTTCTCCGTGCGGGTCCATCTTTCCCGGCGAACTTTTCCGGTAAAATTGATTGCGCTTACACAAGTCGAAGAGACGCCGGAGAAGGACGCGGCTGAAAAAGAAAGATAAGAGTCCAAACAAGCCTGGACGATGAACTAAACCGAATTTAATACAACGCGCTTTTTCCTTCGGCGCATCTTTTCTGATACTTAAAGGAAACGATTGAATATCATTGTATATTGATACGTCTATATTTGATCGAGGAGAAACAAAGCAAAAAATTGTGACGAACGAGAACCTTTCCCACTGTTAAATTCATAATATCAAATTATACCCGATTTGACTTATTTTTAATCATTTCTATATTCTCTGAATTCTTTGGAGTGAGATTCACTTTAAAGAATTTAAGGAGTAAATCGTCATTGCTCCTACCCAATATATCATTAATTTAACAAAAACAAGGGAGTTAAACAGTTTAACTAAAAAAAATGTATTAAATTTGAAACGCTCAAATCTAGTTTATTATTTACTAAATGCAGACATCAATATGAATGATGTTTACTTTGAAACTAACCATAGAAATGGATTGATTTACATTTTGACATCCATTGAAAAAGATAATAAAATGCTAACTCAAGAGATTGAGTTAGCATTTTATTATTTTTTTCTATTTTCCAATGCTTCTTTAATATCTAACAGTGCAAAAGCTTACGGCAATATTGCTACAACGTTTTTGCAGTGTTACTGCAATATTGTTGGGACGTTGCAATGTTGCTATATTATTGCTAGAATGATCTGTTGTTCGGGTTTCAAGATGCGAAAAGAGGAAACGAGGAAGCGAAGGAATTTATTCATTCCCTCGAGACTGACGGTGGCTAATTATTTTTGCCGAGTAATTTTGCCGTAATTGGCGTTTTCCCATTGGACGGTTCGTGCGTGACGACTCTGCTGGGAGACAAAATGCGAACTTTTGCTGTTAGGGCAAAACCGACACAATGCTTGGAACTCGTACGAGTAACAGACATGCAGTTCTATATGCACACGAAACAACCGCGATACAAACAAAAACCGCCCAATCATAAAACTCTTCATCAGCTGGGATTTTGTCCCTCTCGCTCATAATCGTTTCTTGCAGACGAATTTGAAAATTGTTCCCGGTTTTCCGCTTTCTTCGCGACTCGGATGACAGAAAGAGGTCGGTATTTAATTGGAATTAATAATGACGCGGGACAATATAAAGTAACAGTATCAACTGTCGCTTGAAATTTATTCAAAGGCCACCATTGTACGAAAGTTGTTGTGTATTGTTAACTTTGAGCCGCAAAACACTTCACGAAGTCCATTAAATAGTGCAACTCCGAGGGATTGTCAAGGGTGCGAATCATTTTTAACCGGGAATGAAAAGTAGACTGATTACCATAACAATATCATTTAACGCCTTCATCGGGACTTTTGTGCACAGAATATCACGAAGGAATTAGATTGCCTTTTTTTAGGCACCGCATAGCATCGTAATTTGTAACAAATACATCATTTCAAAGCTATTGTTATGTATATGTTTTAAAAATAATTTTTACATCTTAAAAGTCCTATACAGTATAAAAGATTGCAGCAATATTGCTGTAACATTTGTAATATTTCTGTAATATTGTTGGAACGTTGCAACATTGTTGTGATATTGCTGAAATAATTTGTGTTGTATGAGATTTAATATTTATATCAAAACATACTGATTATAAACGGAATGCTAAGTAAAAGGTATATCGTAGAAGAAAGTAAAATAATATAAGATATTTTGCTTACAAAATATCTGGCGATTATCTACTATCATTTATTAATTTTCAACCTAAATACATTGACAATTAAACTGTGAACTAAATTTCCGCTTAACTGATCCAGCACACTATTTTAACCGAGGAATTCTCTATGAACTATCTTGTCTGGAAATTAATCTAAAACAATTGTTCTCAAACATGTATTATCAGCGACAGAGCAATCAGATTCTGCAACAATTCGCTGACAGTAACGGAATAATAATTACAAATAAATTATTAGCGTAATACAGAGTTCGAGAACGATTGGTCATCGATTGAGCTGGCTTGAAATGCTTTGAAACGTTGGACGTGTCCGACGGGTTGAAAATTAAAAGAACGTGCTTTCTTCCTCATTTCAGAACCCTGCGAGAAGATCTACTGCGCCTGGGGTGCGACGTGCATCGTGTCCGAAAACGGCAAAGGTCTGTGTCAGTGCTCTACGGATTGTCCTTTGACTTCCGATCCCGTTTGCGGCTCCGACGACGTGACCTACACGAACCATTGTCACCTGCGGCAGGCCAGCTGCCAAAACAGAAAGAACATCAGGCTGAAGCACAAGGGCGCATGCGGTGAGTGCTCCATCGTTATTCCACACACGCGCGCCCGTCTAGAAAAATAATATCGCTTAGAAGATACGATAAGGCTATAAAATACAGACTTCATCATCTACGTAATAGTTTCAGTTATAAATTCTTTTTAACCCTACATCAAATTTTTCTTGACAAAAATATTAAACCATAAATTGAAAAATACGTAATGCAGTCTCCTAAAACTTCAACAACAAAATTTCAATTCGATAGTTATATACTGTCTCCATTCATCTTTGGAAAGAGACAGTTTATCTATTTTTCTCGTCTCATTGCTGACTTCAATTTTGATTTTGTAATTTTTGCTTGATATTCATATATTATAGATATGTTTTACTAGTTTATCGATAATATTATCGAAGATATTTGTAACGAAATTGTAGACTCTAAATTCGTTTGCGATATTATATCTAATCATAAAGATAATATTTTTTTTCAATTTTTTCGAACGACTTATTCACTTTAATATTGCTTGCCACGAAAACGAGAACAGCTTTCAGCAAAGTGTGACGTTCGATATTTATGACAATCGGAAAGAATTCTCAAAGATATAAACAAAGTTATTTCAAATGTGCGTTTATCGTAACCGTTCATCGTAAAAATTCAATTCTATCGATTATCCTTACTTTGACGAAATTGTTCCTCATATTTCACAGTAGATGCAAATGAAACAATTATTTCTCAATCAATGATTGACAGCGCTAACAAATTTACCCATAACGTCGATAAAAATATGGTTAAAATAAAGATTCAACGTTATCGGAGAACTGTTCCTTCCACCGCAACGAGAGATCCTTGACGAAATGATGGAATAGTGATGGAAGATTAATGTTGTCGATTCAGCATCACGGAAGATTCTAAAATGAGTTGCTTATCGCGAGCACCATTATGCCCCGCATTACTCATCCAGGGTTAAACGGTGACAAAGCCAAGCTAAAACTTTCAAGCCGGCTTCTTTGGATCCATAGGTCGCGGCGATGGCAGCCTTTTAAACTTTAATTCGTCCAACATGCTCACCCAAGTGCTTCTCGATCCTCGAGATCTTTCTCCAGTATCCGACGAAATATCGCGAACTAAATGTGAGGTAGTCGGCAAAAAATCGGTCGAAGGAAGAGAGAGAAAGAGGCGTGCACACACGTACATGGAACCTACACGTACGTTAAAGCCGCAGGGAGACAGGAGAGTCCGTATACCTCGAAACGTACTTTATCACTCTCTGCTCTCTTTTTGCCCGTCCATCCCGCGGGATCCCGGGTTGCCATGAATTAAGCAGCATCCGATACGCGATTTTTGCTACCGCGGTTTCGATCCTGCGCGGCGTGGAGCTCCGTACAGCTCAGCCCGGTTCTGCGCGACTTTACGCGCTGATTCTTAAAACGATCTTTTATTCAGGATAGAGAGTTGCACGGCGTGCGCGTCTCTACGTCTCTCGTCCCGAAGTGTACTACATCTCTCGATGTGCTCGTTTCTGAGCATCAACGAGCGAAGAAATACTTGAGCGAACCGCACGCTGTAACGATACACAAATGGAATGCATTACTCCTCACAAGGGGGTATGTATATCCCGGAAAGCACATGTGCTATGGAAATTACAGCGATAACACACAAGACCGTCCTTGCGCCAATGCGAATTCTTCTAACGAGAATACGCGGATTCGCGCGAGCATGATTTCATGCACGAGAGCGAATACGAGACGTGTAACGCGATCTCCCGCGGGATAAACGGGGATATCGCTTTGATCTCCGAATTCATCGAAGAGCCAGCCATCATCGGCTGCACCGTGCGATAAGCGTTAGCCCTCGATTACCATATCGATCGACTCGATACTGAACGTTCGATTCAGCATAACGGCGAGAGAACGGATACAACTTGGAAAACGGATGTCGAATAATTTTTTTTTTTTAGTCACAAACTTTATAATCTTGATTAATATCCCGCGTTACTTCGACACGGCGACGTGAATCTTCTTTGAGAACGTCCTACAAAGACCCTATTTTCCGCGTCATTGTCTTCATCTTGGCTCACGGACGGACGCCGCTTCAAGTTTCTCACAGGAGGTGATTCAGCCGTTTCGTGACTTCTACTTAACGTCCTGGCACACACCCTTACATGAACCACTATGAGAGACCGGACAATGCGGACGCGCAAGGTCATGAAAGCTCAAGTGCCTATCCGGCGTTAAAAGGACGCATGAAGCTGCAAGGTCGTGAAATCTTCCTTCCGTCCGACTGGCGCACAATGCGAGAACCCTCCAGCTACGAACGTCTTAAGATTCCACTTCGTTACTTCGGAGTTCCTCTGAAATGTGCAGACGTATACACATCACGAAGTCGAATCTCTTAAGTTCGAAATGATTTAGAAGATTATTTCCTTACATTTAAAATTAAATCTAGAATTAAATTTAATCTTTTTTCTGATATGATTTTTAACAATTTATGTATTTTAACACATTTCCGTCATGTAAAAGAACTTAAAAGAAGCTTGAAACTCATTAATACATAGAAAGAATGGTAGAACTGAAGTTTCTAAAAATTTAGCTAGACATAAATCTGAAAATAATTTTGCTTGAACCATCAAAATAATTATGTAAAACGCTTATATTGGTTGCTAGAACGTTAGAACTTGTTGCAGCATTGTCATTAACGTTTAATCTTCAACCACCTAAAACTACAACTTCTAAAATATCCTGTTTGAAGTACAGAATGCAAGTGAATCTTCGCTTTACGGCGATTGATAGGCGAAGGTTTTGAGTGTAAAGATTTTTTATTTACAATTTATCTCACAATGCTAATCATATAATCGATTGTATATAACCATCTAAAAATCTCTGTTTCCAATTTAAACGTTCAATTGCTGTAGTTGAGAGTTAAACGTTCTACATAATTATTTTAATTATCCAACAAAGTTACTTTCAGTAAATCAACAAAATTATTTTCAGATCTGTATCTATATAGCTAAATTTTTATACACTTCAGCAAAATCGTTCTTTTCGTATGCTGAAATAATACGTTTAAATTAAACCATGAAGTTCTCATAATATTTGTCTTGATTACATCTTAATTACATATCATTTTAATATATTATTATTTAATATATTATATTATACGATATTTTTAATCGTGATTAATTTTTATGTCATCTCATGATATTCCAGTCTCTATTAATATGATATTAAATCGGCGTTTACATTAAATGTGAAACATGAGAGTGGATTTTTATTTTCGCATGCGAACAACTCGCACCAGCCAATCATTTTGTCGAATGAATACACTTGCGATTATGCCGTACGTGATACAGTAGACAATCCGTAAAGCTAGAGACAGATGAGGAAAAAATGAAGCGAACATAATAATAATAATGGAAACAACCTTACGCGAGAGAACAGAGATTTCGTCTCACGAATGAAGCAAAAATAAAATTACTTTGTCTCTCCTGGATCCGCGTTTCAGGGCCTAGGTGCAGAGCGTCCCGCCGTCGCCATTTTCTACCCGAACAATTCATACTAGGGCTCAGACAAAAGATTCGAACATGTTGAATATTCGAGCTATTCGAATAATTCGAATTTAAAAAAAATGAACATTTAATTTGAATATTTCGGACGGTTCGAACAGTTCGAGCTTAAGCAGTGATCAGTATGAAATGTCAATTCGTTATATCTGAAGTTCGGACGGTTCGGATAGTAAACAAATATAAGCTGTGTTCCAAAATTCACTGCTAGCGCTGAAAATCTACAGTTTACGTCACGTATACTATACATTTCTAGCACTGCCAGTGAATTTTAGAACACAGCCATAATATGCTTGGAAAAACAAAAGAGCAGTTAAATAAAATTCCTATATTTATTGATATCGTCCTACAAATATCCTGAGCCATCCTGGACATAATCAGGATGATCCTGAGAACGACTTGTGATTTCGAAATGTAATAATTTCGAACTTTCAGCTTTGAAGTGGGTTAAAATAGTTCGAACACACATTCAGTCCGAATTATTTAACGTTAGAACTTAAGATTTGAACTGTCTGAACTGTCAAATCGTCTGATGTTTCCGAGCACTAATCCATACCAACATTTATTAAATCCACATGAATCCTACACTACGGCTATAATCAACATGAAAATCACCCGTACGATTACTTTTAAAGATCCCTGCAGGACAACTGTCTGGGTACACTGCACCCATTGTACCTCGGCTTGAAACGGCCCTGATCCACGTTAACGCACGTATTCTTTATGTACGTTCTCTTCTTCGCCCTCGCGCTTGTCGCATCATTCCGCTCGACGTGTTTGCCCTCCCTTCCTCCATTTCTGATCTTCTCTGCTCCTATTTCACACGACGCGATGTATATAGAGCATTTCTTATTCGTGCCGCCAGCCAGCCAGCCAGCCAACCAGCCAGCCAGCCCTCGTGCCGGCAGTCATCCTACAAGCAACCCGGCACGTAAATTATTATGCGAACAAACAATGCGAAACGAGCGTTCCAACGTCCCATAAAACAACGTGAATCCCAAGCGATTTTCGTGCACGCCGCAACTCGGCCTCGGTCTTGCGAATGAGCGCCGCCTCCCCGCTATCCTTTCTTCTTCCTCCCATTTAGAATCCTTCGCTCGTAACAAGATCATATCCGCAAATTCCTCAAGTAAGATTATACAATTTTATGACGATCTCTTTATTTTCCAGTCATTCCATACATTACAATCTATCATAGATATTTATTTCGCTCTAAAAAGAATTAATCCTTAGATTTTTGCGCGATCGCATCAGTTTAAATTCGCAAAAGTTTGTACTAATTAAAAATAAAAATAATACAAATGAAAAGTTACCACAATGATGGAATCTTAAAGATTTCTTTTGAAAATTTAGATCAGTCGGCAATTCAATTTGATCATAAAGTTAGTCAATAAAACCTATAATTATATATAAACCTAGTTTATTTCATAAAATTAATCTAAAATATCTAACAATATATTAATATATTACACAA